GATCTCTTCGGTAGTAAAAGTTGTTTTCTGCATTTTGTGAAAGAGCATCTGTGATTTGATTAATGTAAAATCCAACAATTTATTAATATAAAGTTACTAATTTTAGTTAGTAACTAAAGTTAGTAATTAAGCTAACTTTAGTTATTAATATAAAGTGTTATGTTATAGACATATATAAATATTGTTGTTAAAAATTTGTAAAAATTTTAGTTTCACTCATTTTTCATCTATCAAATAATTCATTTAGATCGATTATCGGTAGAACATTTAAGACAAACTTCCGCGATAATTATATCTCATTCACTTCATTGCTCAAAACTAATATCCGTGGATGACCACAATTTGTTTTGTATTCCAACTCGCGTATTTTATAACGCAGTGGCTATTTAGGTTGTTTTCCAGCAAAAGACACAAGTTGACACAAATCGACACAAGTATCACTCTGTCTTTGTTCGATATTCAATGAGCAACAGAGGGAATAATACTTTTGTGTCGCTTGTGTCTCTTGGTGGAAAACTACCTTAATATACACACGATAAAATGAAACCACTTGCAAATTTACATGTTGCGTCGCTAAGTGCAACGGCATGTAAAGCAATCGGGTAAAGCAACAAACTAAAATTATTTAAGAAATAAATGCGGAAACTTTTATGTCAGCACTTTGCGGTAAAAAATGCAAGCTTTTGCGATTAAAGGCAATAAGCGCTTTTTCTCTCTCTCTCCTTAAAAAAAACCTCACAAGTTACCGCAACTAGCAAAGATTATCTTAATCGTTTGAGACTTAATTTAACTTTCTTATGGTGATCTTTCTATTTATACAAATTTTAACAAAAAATTGAACTTAACAACTATATTTTCTTAGCAATCGTTAAATATTTATCTTATTCATTGGAAATTATTTCTGTCATTATCAATATTACAGAGTGAGTCATATTTAAAAACTTGTTTAATTCTTTAATTCGTGATCGAAGGAATAGAATACAAATTGGACTTGATGATAAGTTTGGTATTGACAGCTGAAATTGAACGGTTAAATGCATATCAGGAAGTAATTAATTAAGACTAAATAAAAAAGAAAAGATAAAAATGAAAAAAAATAGAAGGAAGTATAAATTAATCTAATTTTGAAAGAACATAAATTGTATGGGTCATGTAAGCAAATTTGGATCGCTTTATAAGTTTGGTTGTCAGTTTTAGTGGTTATTGAATGTCTAAATCTATACAGGAAGATAACTGATTTGGAAGTGAGCAAAAATAAAATAGGAAGAAAATGTATGGGCGATAAAAGTAAAAAAATAGAACGTGTCATATTTAAAATCATTTTATAACATTGGATTGCATAATAAGTAATTTCAGATTTTGTAGATAAATCCGCTTACTTTTTTGTCAGACAAAATACAGTTTGATACAGCACGCAAATTGAATATTCGTTTGTCAAAATCAAACAAATCAAATTTTATATCACATATTTTTAAGCGTGTTACGTAAAAAACAATAACACTGTCTATTAAACAAATCCGAAATTATTATACCATACATCAAATATTTTTACGTAAAACATGTTTAATTTAATTTTTGTAAGAAATTATTAATTTAATCACAATAAAATAAATATTATGCATTGCTACAAAGATGTGAAATTCTCGACATTATAAAACATTAATTTACAATTATAATTTTAGGTAATACAAATAGAAAAGATTGATCCAAATGCTTCAGGACCAAATTAACAAATAATAGTCTGCTCATAAGAAAAAACACAACAATCGCACGTTACATGTTGAAATTTGGCGATTTCAACGCCCGATAAAGTATTCCCTCTTAATTTCTTCACTATATCTTTACAGACAAAAAAAAGACATTAATTTTATTTTATTCAGACTTATTTTACTTCACTTAACTCCAATCCGATCTAAATGAAAACTAATTTTTCACGTATCTCCAGAACTAGGAAGATTTACAAATAAATAATAAATCATTTAAACTATAATTAAAGTTAATCAATATTATTGAATCATTAATTTATCGGAATCAATTCGTGCGCCAATAAATTTATCGCAATTGCGCTTAATGACTTTAGACAGAACTACGTCAACCGCAAGTAGAACGAGAACGTAGAACCACATTCGAACAAACGTCGGGAACAGGGCAGGGAATTGCGGGTATTCGCTACGCTCTCTCGAGCCGCGATTTGTCCGCCCAATTTCACGGCCCTTTCGGGAAAAATGGGAAAATCTTTCCTCTTGGCCGCGACGAGTGTGGGAAATAGACCGCGTTATTCTCCCGCGGTTGACTCTGCGACACGCCCATGGCGAACGCGCGGATTAAAACGTTCCTTCCAGTTTTACGCTCGGCGGCAACAAACGGTTTGATGTCGGCGAGTAATCAGTAGGGGATTAGTTTCATTCAATTACGGCACATTTAAGATGGAAAAAAATAAACGATAATTTAAGTTAAATAAGTGGTGAGAAGTTCAAATTTTTTTTATACAACACAGAAGCACGTGTAAAACAAAATACAAAAATTTCAGATTTTGCTTCGTACAGATTTATAACAATTATAATAAGCCAGATTTATTTTACATATTTTTATGTTCTCTGAAATGAAAGAACTATGATTATTTTGCCTCCTGACTTATTTTGTGTCAATTAATACCTTCTTATTCTTGAAATAAACGACGATTTTTGTTTAGGTGACAATTCAATTTTAGAATTATTTCAATTTATATTTGCATTTCTGTGCTGCTTACAATTAGTTAAATATAGCGGATTTTAGTTTTTCTATATCCAACAGAAATTATATTGAATACAAACAAGGTTCAAAAATAAGACCGTCGAACTAAATGTAGAAAATTAATTCATAATTATTTTATCAATATCAGACTGTCTTTCTCCTTCCCTCTCTTTCTTTTTCTATCACCCCCCTCCCTC